CCCCAAAACCCCAAAACCCCTTAATATTATTTATAAATGAATTTAAAAAATGAAATGCTTAGCATATCCAAAAGTAAATCAATAATAATCAAAGCAGATTCTAATTCAATTTATATTAGCTTCATTATTGTGAATAATTTGTTCATTTCTTAGCTAGTTATTCCAATTATGACAATTCTTAGTACATCTTCTCTAACTTTGCAAGTCTATCATTAGTCACCTTTAGTTGCTAAGACCTGTCTATAGAAGTGTTTGCACCCATTGAGCCGCTAGCAATTAGTCTTGAATCATAGCCTGAAATATCATTCTTAGTCATTTCAACCGATACCTCCCCTCTATGATTGTTGCTCTAATTATGATATTACCTTCCTCCAATAGAGTTTTCATCTCTGAAAGTCTAAGGAGATTGACCTTAGAGATCAAAATTAGGCTATAAAATAAATAAATGATAAGATATACTTACAGTATCAAAATTCCTATTCTTGTTATTTAATATTTTTGACTGAGACTAAGATTCACTAAGCTTGGAAGTGCTGTTTTTACCTCTGGTATTTTATTTAGAACTCTGATTGATTCTAGATTTGCTGATAGCCAGAGCAGTTTTCTCCTTTTCACTATTATCTCTGCGTCTTAATGGCTAAGATTTATGCTTATCAGGCACTCCAATGATATCACTCTAATTGCTTCGTTGATGATTTAGTCCATGTGTCGTATTGCTGGTGTTATCAGTATGTATGTAGTTGTTTAAAATTACTCCTCCCATAATATTATGCTGATCATTTGAAGTAGTTCTCTTAAAGGTCTTTTTACCATTAGGAGATAAACTGCTTAAACTCTCCTAGCTATCCTGCTTCAAGCCACTTCTGATGTATTTCTTTTATGAGGTTTGAACTTCATTCTTAAACTTGCTTTGGTACTTTCTAAAAGCTGACTCGTTTGTTTAAATTGATTGATATTCTTGCTGCTATTGCTAATTTATGTTAACCTCTGAGTTTTTATGAGCTCTTTAGGACTTTCTATCAGAAGATTTACCTCTAGATGGCAATCTTGAAAGGGATCTATCAGCTCTAGACTCATCTTGCTTAATGGGACTAAGACTTCTCATCATTGATGTATTTGAGATATTCAAAGAGTGCTAAGATTTAAATACTCTGTTATTTCGAGAGCTTTTGTTTGAAATAGGTGAATATTACTTTTGAAGTCTTGACTCACTTGTTTCGATCATTCCTTTTAATTTTCTATCTTGCTTCTTCATAATCTATAGAAACAAGTATATATTAACTTTAATATTTTTACATCACCAAGTCTCTAGATAGCTTTGCTGAGTTTAGTAGTAAGCCTGTTCTCTAGAGCTTTCAAATCTTTATCAAAGGAGATATGCGGCTTACTCAAATCCTTGATTTTTTTCTCTAGGTCTTTAAAATCATTTGCAATCTTTCTTTTAAATCTCTCTAAATCCTTAGTGTCTGGCTTATCGATGATTTCTCTCTTGAGATCCTAAAAATCAATTAATATCATATTTCATTTACCACAAGTGCTCTCTCAATGTTTGTAGTTGATTTCGTTAAATTATAAGTGTCTTTATTTTCATTTTAAACACCAAAGGGTATAATGCCTCCAGAACTTACGCCGTTGCCATAACTTTGTATTATTTCTTAAACTTCTGTTATCTTCTAATCCAAACTTGTAAAGTCAAATGCAATATCTTTGGCTTGCGCATCAATAATTTGGAATACTCTGTGCTCAAAAGCCTGCTCCCTAGATTGCATAAAAGCATCAAAGTCTTTTGTTATAATCTCGTTGATTCTACGTTCCATCAGATCTAAACTGTGATCCAATTTCTGACTAAGCATGTTATACTTCTCATTCTTCATTTCTATTGCTCTCTCATTGCCACTAAAAGTATGATGACTTGAATTAGTATGCTGTGGCATCAAATTAACTCTTGCTTCGATGTCTTAAACTTTCAAATATAGAGAGTCCAGAGTCTTTTTGTATATAGTCTGTTCATCATTACTACCCATTGCAATAGACTCTAGGATTCTAAATTTCTTAATGAGATCTTGCTATCCTAGTTCGATAAGATCCACTCTCTAGCCAATGTCCATTACTGCTTCTGAGACAACATTCACATCTTAGACAACCTTATGAGACTTTTCAACTTATTTTTCCAAAAAGTTCAAGTACTAATGCTGCTAAGGTTTTGAAGTATTGCCTAACTACATGTCAAGTTCTTTTTATTTAGTCTATATTATAATTAGTTAAGAAAACTAAGGCAATCAATCATTAGATTTATTACTTTTTCCATTATTTCCTTCTTTGTTTTGTACTTATTGAGAATATTTTCGTATGTGTTGGATGACATTTTTATATTTATTGAAGTAGTTTGATTTTCAATTTAAATATGAATTATTGCCAAATTAACTGATAATAATCACACGGGGTTTTGGGGTTTTGGGGTTTTGGGG